CATGCCTACTTCCTGTTTTGTAAATGATGCATTCTGCAGTTCACAGTATTACAGACCAGTTTGGATTATTTAGATCAGAAAGAACTGCTCTCCTCTCCAAAACAAGAGATTTTTCTTTCTATCTGACTTTAAACCTGTTTGAAGGATATGAAATTGTTAGATCAGACCCTGTTCACTATCTCTGCCTGTCAGTGCAGCTGGCTACAGACCCAAACATGACAAAATGCTAGGAAAAATGTTCTTGGCTGAAATGTTTAGGCTGAGACAGTTCTGCTAGTTGGAAGAAAGTGCAGCTCAACTTTCAAACTTGCATATGATTGCCCACACCTAGTCTTTGCCATGCCATCCATCTCTGATGTTTATATTTTCCAAGTGGATGATTTCACCTCCTATGTAATCCATGGCGCTGCTTTTAGAGTTAAACAATGAGGAGACTGGAGGCTTTCAACATGCGATAACATTCTAAACTCTCTTCCATTTGCCTGAAGAATGCTCTGATTCTCAGGAGTACCTTGTTTCCCAAGCATAGCCTAGCAAAGGAAAGAGAAGTCAGTCCCTTTAGAAGGAGTCAAGTGGGAAAATACAAGCGAACATATAGATGATGCTTTGGGTAGCAAAAGAAGATCACTGATATGCTTAGCACTTGGCTGATGCAGCTCCCAAGCTCCTTCTCTCCTCCATCAAACATCAGAATGACTTGTGTATTGCATTTAAAACCTGATCTCCTGCTGAGTGATTTACCTAGGGGCCTCTAGAACCCAGTGAGTAGCATGGGGAGTTTTGTTGTGTGCTGTTGCCCAGGATGTGTTGAGGCAACAGATGCCTTTTTGCTATTGCAGGTTTAAAATATGTACCTTTTCCTTTTTAGTAAACATTCTCTGTCTCTCCATCCTTCTCCTTGCCTCTGTATGCCTCTTTCTTTGCCTCCTTCTGTCAAAATAAATCTGGCTGCCATGCACTGTAGTTAACTCAAAATATTGCTAGCATTAAATGTGCCCAGACATTTTTATTAATACATTAAACTTGCATGAAATTTTTAGGCATATAATTTACCAAGCTTGCACCAAGATGGCGTTTGAAACTGACATGAGCTATTAATTAAAAAAGAGGACATTGAATAATTGTCAGTTGACATCTAAATTACTGTTTTGTTAACTGACAGAAGCTTGCCTCAAGCCTCTCTCTCTTCTCAAGTGTTAGTAAATATCCCATTGTCTTTTAGGGCATCACATTAAGAATTGATTGTTTAAATCTTAAAGTTATATACCTGACTAAATAAAGTGGTAAATGATGTTAATTATTTCACAATGAGCTGTCAGTGTCATGTGGGTATAGAAACACTTCTGGTTTAAGTATTTGGGAAAATATCAAGGGGGACTCATCAGAATGCTTCCTGATTTTAGTGGAAACCTGTTCTTGCATTGTCTTGGTTAGGTTCCGTACCAGCTATTCAGCGTTCTAGCATAAAAGATTATCTGCATCAAGGCCTTCAACTGGTTATGAGGCTGAATAACTCCATCGATTATGATGGCACACTGTGCTGGGTGACACCCACTCAGAGTATGTCCCAGCTAGGGAGAGAAATTATTGAGTGGCTTGAGGTGCTTGTGGGAATAATGATGTGAATTTTAAAACAAGATTTGGCTGAAGATGGATTTGTTGAAGGCTCTATCAGTTGGATTAGGATTTTTCCTGAACAAACACTAATAATCATCACTGGTCAAGCAGAAAATGAAGTTATCTGCAGAAGATATGCCAGTTCTCTCTGATCCTAAAGGAGTGCTATCTTAATTATCACTGAAGGTTTCAGGTTGCCTGTATCCCTGAGGGATTCAGCGTGGCTGTATGATTAGTTGGAGTAAATCAGGTGATTTTAGATAATGGACTTTGCTTTATCAAAGGGTTTTCTAGGACTAGCTACTGGCCTAAAAGTGCCATGAATTCAAATCCCCAGGGAATTGAAGCAAGTAGCTAAAATCAGTTTAGACCTAATTATCACATGCTTCTCTGGTGACCTGAAGAAATGGGCAACTACCCCTATGACCTATGGGGAAAAATAAATCAGATAAAATAGAACATACAGCTTGGATTTTCTTGAGGAATCTCCTTGGTATTTATAATACTGTAGCACTTACAGTGCAAGTACTCAGCGTGAGTAATATTTCAATGCTCTTTTCAGGAAATAAACTGGGTGGGATTGTGGTGGCTTTGTGTTTGTGGGGTTTGGGGGATTTTTTTTTTTGGTTGCTGCTGTTAAGAACAGCTACCTCCCATACATCTCCTTTCAGAGATATACAACCTCACCCAGTTAGGCGAAGAATGTTGGAATCCAAAACACGGCATATAACCCCATTCTTTGGGTCAAGTTTGGTCCTACAACAAAGAGATGCCAACATGGGCGAGAGTCCTATGCAAGGCTACCACATATTCAGCTATTACTTGTGCTATAGAGGTCCAGTTCCAACCTTTAAGATATTCCCAGCGAGTATAGGCTGGTTTAACATGTCAACACAAACTCTACCATCTGGAAAGGCCCTATCCTGAAGAAGGTTAGGAGGAAAGATAAAAAAGTACATTGATTCCTGTATGCTGTGTTTCCTTTTGATTCTTTGTGAGTAGATTGCTTAGGTTGCAGAATGATGGTGCAAAACCAACTAAGCTAGTTCTGCATCAACGATCTGACATGTGGAAAAGCATAGCTTTGTGTATAAAACAAAGCACCATATATACTTCCTTGCTAAAAACTGATGTTATCTCAAGACTATCTGCATTTCACTAATCCTACTAAGTATTAGTTTATAGGGACCTGTTTAAATGTTTGCTATGGATCTCATAGTATTTTTACTGTCAGAGTTTCCTCAAGACCAGTAGAAGGCTATACTGTTTCCTCAGATTAACACCTGCATTATAGAACCTCTTAATGATCCATCAAGGAGTAATACATAGATTCCCTGAAGTGAATGAGAACAAAGATTTCTTAGTAAATTACTCAGTGCCACAGTAGAATTGCAAAGTACAACTGCTAAGAAGCGATGGTGGATTTCTAGTTGTTTTCTACTTAACTGAAAGAAGTCATCTTTAACATACATAGTTTTGCCCCCAAACATTGTGGAATTACAGCTTCTCTCCCTGGTCAGTGTTAGTGGCTCTAAGACAAAGAGTTTGTGTATTGTGTCACATTTCCAGCCTTAGGACCAGAATTTTGGCATTAGGTGGGAAACTCTACCTTTTAGCAAACGCCTGTAGACTGGGATGAGGAATCATCAAAGAGGTCAGTGTAAGGTCATCATTAAAGATGTTAAATTTTGCTGCCATGACAAAGTCAGTCACTTCCCTCAGAAAAATCAAAGGATGGTATTGTAGATGTTCAAACTGTCTCTGAGGGAAAATAACACACATAATAAACAGCAAGGGGAGGCAGAAAAGTCTAAAGTGGAGCAGTTTGTAGATCATATCACCTGCATTTCACCCAGGCAGTAAATCTACTGCCTTCTGTGTCTCTTCTTGTCTTTGTCCCACTCCTCCCTTTATTCCCTTTTCTCTTGACTTGGGTCCCTGGCGTTTCTGTTCTGGCTTAGCTCTTTCTCATGCCCTTCCCACTCATTTGCACTGTCCATACTGTCCTTAATACACCAGAAAGTTTACTGGGTATTGTATGTTTGTTCTTCTGGCCATATAATAGTCCTCATCTCTTTTAGGTTAATACACAGAAATTGTCAGTGTCTTGTAAGAGAATAGAGTGTTACTAGAAAGGAAACGTTTTGTGACAGCTGTGTTTGTTAGGTTGGGGAAGTGTCTCCCTGGGAAAACGACAGGTGCTTCACGGCTGGGGCCCTTCTCTGTTGGACAGGCAAAACCGATATTGAAGTACTTGCTGCAAGGGATGCCCTTGCTTTGATCTTCAACTGAGTGTTTACATATGCTGTGCTCTCTTTATGAGGTACGACTGATGGGGACATCCTTCTATCCAGCTCTCTGAGAGAGTCCAAAAGCCGTTTCTTAGATCATTGAGTACAGCTGTTGCCTTCAGTTTGTGAAAATGCTGATTAATTAATGTTTGGGTCTTTTTAGTCACTCATAAAATGTCTCAAAGGGACACAAAAAAGTGTCCACATATGTAGATTACCATGAGCCAACAAACAACTTGCAGTCCAGAGCCCCTGCTCCTGTACATCTCTACCCTATTGCCTGTCCTTGGAGGAGTTGAGGAGTGGCCATTGCCTAAGCAGTCTAGCGTTGCCTCTTCTGCCTGTGAACACCTCGGGTGCTCAAAACCTAAAACGATCTTACTGTTTCTGGATGAGGAGGAAGGTGAAGGGCAAAAATGTATCCCTTCCAGCAGGAATGATCACTGCATGACCTTGACCTGTAAGAGCCTCAAGTGAAGGGACTTCTCAGAACTGAGATCCAGACACAGTAACTGGGAAATCTTGGATGAAGCCATTTATCCTGGTTTACTCTTTCCCCTCTCTTTCCCCTCTCTTTCCCCTCTCTTTCCCCTCTCTTTCCCCTCTCTTTCCCCTCTCTTTCCCCTCTCTTTCCCCTCTCTTTCCCCTCTCTTTCCCCTCTCTGTTTCGGAAAAAATATGGAAAATTTCTAGCAATGTCAAAAAAAATCCAACTTCAGCACTTTTGAAACAAGACCTTTGGCTTTCATTCCTCAAAAATGTTTTTTGTTAATGAGTTTGCTATTATAATACATAGTACAAAATTTAAAAAAAAAAAGCTTAATCAAAAGTGTTTGAAGGATTTTCTTTTTTAAAAGAATCTCAGGCTGCTGGGATTTCTGAAATGTCAAAATCCTGTTACAAGGAATTTCCTTTTTCCACACAGATCCACTAGATGCACTGCGTATAATGGTCCTCCAGAGGCTTGCATGTGTGTTATGTGTTATCATTCAAATCACAGTTGTGGGGAAGCATCATGCATAAAGAGGGGAGTTAAACATTACAGTTTGTATATTACACTGCCTCAGAAAATCCATGGGGCAATGAGTCTTACCTTCTATCCATTTTGCCATCTGAGTCTAAAGAGAGAACAGGAAAATGTGGTTAGTTAAGAAACCAGGAACAGAGTGGTGATAGGCCTGCTCAGAAGTTGTGAGGATGCAACCAGGAGAACACAGTTACAGCAGGTGAAGATCTAGCCATCCTTTCTAAGGCAACACTCTTTGATATTAGTAGTGTCATGCAACCTTCCTAAAGACCTTCTTGATTCTTCCAGCTGGAATATCTCATGTCAATTTTCTCAGAGCTGTATCTTTGCTAATATTTTGGCTATATTGAGTTAGAGTGTAGCACATCCCCAGAGTGTCATGAGAAACAACTGTGAGGGCAGATGCTTGATGAGAATGAGGCAGAAGCAGTTTCCCTTTAGGCCTGCTAAAGAAAGCATCAGCTATTTGTCTTCCAGGAAGTGGTATTCCATTTTCATTTGTAGCCTCATGTGGTACCTGGGGAGTCTGTTTGCAAAATTATGCTCTAAAAGACCAGTGTTTACTGTAAATAGGATGGAATTGGGTCATGGCTGATGGGCTGAGCTCACCATAGCAGTGCTGGGCCCAGAGAGCTCAGTCTATTTCACTCCAAGTCTAATAGTTGAGACCACTCTGCTCTCCTCTTTACCAAGCAAGAGTCTGTGACTACTGCTGAAGCAGTGTGTCATGGCACATTGCTGACTTAGTAGGGCTAGACAGTTCTGGATGCTGGAAAGCTACCTCTCATTTGTTGTGTAAGGTTACTGCAAAGATCTAGCCACAGAAGCAAATGTTTCTGGATACAGTGGATGGAACAAACAGGTCCTAGTCCTGTGCTGTAGCAGCCTGACTGAGTTCTCTCACTGCGTTTTCCTTGTTTAATGTCCGACTCATTGTCATGGTGGAAACTGGCTACATTTATCAGAATTTCCCTGTTTTTAAAAGTAGACTGCAAGAGCTGGTACTTCGCATGCAACCAGAGCCACAAAGGTGCTTTTTTGAAATTCAGCATGGAAATGCCATACAGAAAGCAATGTTTTCAGTCCCCAAACTCTCTTATTATAGTCCCTCTTCTTTCAGTAAAGATTATTTCCCCGCTTATTTCATGAGATTGCTTTACTGCTTCCTTTTCTGCTGTGATTTCCCTCCAAGCCAAATTTTTATGTGCTACTAGGAGTACAGGCCTCTCTTGCCAAGCAAAATGTAGGTTGCAAAGATTTGCCTTAGTAAAGTCCCAGGACGCTTTTTTGCAAAAAAGAACAGCTTATACTGATGTTCTGGTCAACCTGTTAGGACTCTGCATTTCCTCAATTGCCACTATCTGTTGCTATTGGTTTTGCTATGATTTTTATTTCTAGCTCAACTGCAGTTGATTGTTACTGTGTGCTGTTACTTCATTCTGCAGATGACAGTTATATTCAGCAGTGGAAGAAATTATCACAATATTTGCTCTACAGTGCTCTGTGAAGCACTTCAGAGTCCTGTCAAGTAAGAAAGGCTCTGTGCGGAGGATGAAGGGCCAAGAATCAGCATTGCTTCTGGGGAGGCCCATGGGACAAATTCTGCCTGTCGCTAGCTTCTGTCTAGTGCAATGATGGGCATTATTCAGTTTATCTTTAAGATTTTGGATTTGAATCCAAAACCATGGGTTGTAAACTGCTGGTCCAAAGTCAAAAGGAGCTGTTGCTACCAGCAGTTATGATGTTAGACCAAAGAGCTTTTTGCCTGTTTCAGATGAAAAACATGCTTTCCTGTAGCAACTTGAAAATCAGTCACAGTGGAAAAGTTATAGAGAGTTTTGCTATGTACTCTGATGGAAACTGCGTATCTTAGTCAGTCACATTTGTAGGAAAAGTCCAGAATCAGTGAAATAAATAGCAAATTTGGCTGTGAAGTGTGAGCAAGCCTCTTGCCCATCCTGCAAATCCAAGGCTCTATGTTGAATAGAGAGAATTTTGTTTTAAAAATTAATTATTCTAAGATACCCAGGCAGTATGCTGAAGTGAATTCTATTTCTCTTGTAAGGCTAAAGAGCAGAGTTGGTTATACTGAAATGTGAATCTGCTATTCTAGGGACTCCAGCACTTCAGACACTTAAAAGTTCTTCACAGCAAAACCAGAGCTGTGGTACATACACAATTCCTAACACTGAAGTTCAGATCTGCTGTATCAGAATATAAGGAGATCTAGATCTCTGGATAAGAAATCAGGAGTATTTTTTCTTACCTCCAAAGACATTGTCAATCATTTGGTTTTTGATCATGCAAATTATTACTGCAACAAAAGCGATTGCTAGAAATGCTCCCAGAGTAACTCCTATAATAACATATGTGAAATCTGCAAAAATTGAAAACAAGTCAGTGAGTATAAACCACTATGTAATAAATACAGTCTTTGTGTTTCAGATGTGACACAAAGTTTCCAAATTTTAAATTAATCCCTAAAAAAAAAAAAAAAAAAATCATATTTATTCTTCAGAAGGGCCTTATAATGCTGAGCCAGACTAGGTAGCTGAGAAGAGTCTACACTTTTAACCTGCTGCACATCATGAAACCCTGTGAACCTGTGGCTAAGGGGCTCAATTCTGGTTTATGATAATGAACAACTTTATCCTTTGGTGTGTGCAGGTCTCTGTTGAGTTTTAGAACTAGGGCTCTACTTTTCCCCTCAAAGTGAAATTCCTCATCCCCACTCCCTTGCCACTCTGCATCCTGCTTCCCATAGCTTCATATGCACAGCTTCATCTCCACCTCCCAGTCTCCAGCCTTCTGCCTTGCTTGACTATTCTGCCTCTATAAGTCTTCACTGGGAGGAAGTAGGAGAATTTTTACATGTAAACTATGAACCATATTGTGATTTTTGCACCACTGTTTGTACATAAGAGTCCACCTTCACCTGTCAGGCAGGAGGGTGCCTGTGTTCAGGATCTGTGTTCCAGACTCTGTCCTCCCTATGGTCATTATATTTACCTAAAAATAATTTAAAAGCCCCAGTCACACAACAGGACTCTGCTGTGCTAGGCAAAATACAAACATGCAACCAGATGATTATCTTCACATAAAAATTACTTAGTCTTCTAAGAACATTCATTTTTGTTATATTTGCTTTGCCCCTAACTTCCTGTCTGGAAGCGAAAATCTCACCATGAACTCACCTATTTCCTCCTCTAAGTTTCCAGAAGCATAGACCTTTGCTCTCCAAAAATCTGAAATGAAAATATTTTAGCCTGTTAGGACATCAAGGAGAATGCTCTATATTCAAGCAGAATGCCATATCTGGCTGTTTCCAAGGGGATGGTTGATCCTAGTAAAGCTTAAAAAAGGATCTGAGGCTTCCTGGAGTAGTGAAGTGTTATCAGTCAAGTTAATGAGGACATCCTAGGAATGTGGCCACCACATGCCAGTTTTTGGACAGAATAGAAAATACAATTTTAAAATTTAATGTTGTCTTAGCACTGTTTCCACCTGGAGTTTCTTCACTGTGAGCCTGAGAGCTGCATGCAATACAAGTTGCTATAAATCAAGAAAAAAATTACAGATGCAGTAAAGCTAGTAAGATGTGCTAACAAGAGAGGATATGGTACACCCAACAGCCCTCTCCAGAAAACATGCATCCCAATCCTGCCTGAAGTTCCAGTCTTCAAAATGTGATTTATTGCTGACAGAGAAGAAAGTCTTTTCCTCTTGCAAGAAAATGTTATGGGCTGAAAGCAACCTCTTCAGAGGCTCCCATGCCAAGGTCCCTGTTCATCAGAAGGACACCTTCCCAGCCTTCCCCTTCTCCATAAAGCCGCTGAGCTGTGCTGCCTGATACTTGGAGTGTTCAAGCCCTCAGAAGGGAGTGGCTTTGAAGAAAACAATCCACTCCCACATACTTTTTGAGGGAAACAGATTCAAAATCTTAAAAAAAAAACCCAACAAAAAAACCCAAACAAAACCAAGAAAAAGAGCAGTCATGTTTAGTTTTAATGTTGCTTGCTTATTATTGGAAATGGCTAAAAAAGTACACTCAAATGTTTGGGAGTTTTTTTCAGTGGTGGGCATGCAAGGATATTTCTTTTCAAGTAGCTCCAAATGACATAACTGATACGTAGCTGCATGAGGTGCCTGGAGCATGAGAAGGCTTTAAAGGCAGGCATGACTCCTGCATTTTAAACCAGCATGCTGTGAAATTTGTCTCCTGTACATGCTTCAGGCAGAACATGAAGTCCTCTCCTACAGCTATTGCTCTTTGGCAATCCACTGCCTGGGTGACAGTACATATGGGACCTGGTGGGAAGATAGCTGTCTTGCACATAACTGTCTTTTTATAGGCATTCCCCACTGTAGTGGGGAATTGTGAGGAAGTATTGTCTGACTGAAACTCTAGTGGGATTTTAAGGTCTTAAATGCATCCAGTTTTCCTACTGCTAAGGTGTCTAACATTGTAAGTCCCAGCTTACTTCTCCTTTCTCTCCTCTGCTTCTTGTGGAGAAATAATTCTGTCTTCTTGAGGTTTTGGGGGCTGTGCTTTCATTTCTTGTCCAGTAAAATGAATGCTACAAGTATGATTGCTTTTAAACTTGAAGCATAGTCCTCCCACTCCAAATTCATCCATTTGGGTACCTTTACAGAAATCCATCTTGTGTCTGCTTTTCAGACTGATGAAACTCTCTCTCAAGATGAGTGTGGGCTCTGGGGCTTCCACGGTTATGTCAGAAAAATCTGATATATTGGGTGGCTCACAAAAGATTTATTTTTATTTCCTGGTCTTAAATCACATTTCTAATCCCAAATTTTCATAAATTACAAACCAAGCTTCAAAAATCTGGAGATGAGCTTAAAAAAATCTTGAGTTTTAAAGCAAATGTATTTTGGGAACTATAATTCTGAGCTGAACAACCCTTTTTGCCAGACTTTTCTTCATAATTAAAATGTCTGGAAACTTATTTTATACAAGCAGAAATGTTTTCTCTCCAAAAACCCCATGAAACTCTGAGAAGGGAGTTGGGAGGGGTGGGGAATCCAATTGCAGATATGGTCACAAAAGCTGGCTATACTAAATGACCAAGATCAAAGTTACAAAGAAAAGGAAATTTAAAAAAAAAAAGTCTAAGACTACACAGTGGGTGTAAAAAAAAACATAGCTCCTGATTTTCCAGATTAAAACCAGTCTCTTTGCTCTCGCCTGTGAATTTATTTCATTATAAATTTAAAAAAAAACCCTTTCTTCCATCCCCTTAATTATTCTTTGTGCTCACATGAAGAATGTTTTAAATTCAAACATAATAAAAGTGATATTGTATTACTTTTATTATCCTAATGATCATAATACATAGACCTTAATGTATGCTTTCTAATGGAATTAAACCAGTGACAGATTATGTGTTTTATGGCAGAAATAATATTTTACATGGAATATTTTATGTAGGTCAGTTTAATATATTGAGATTAAATTATTAGTTTCTTTTTAAAAAGGGAGGGAGGGAAATCTCTGAAAACCCACAGGACTAGAGAGAACATTTTCAATTCATACTTTCAATATGGTTTTAATTAAGGTTTAATATCACTTACTGGATGCTGCTTAAATACTGTTTGCTTTTGAGGACTGTGTTAGATAGCCAGCTTCTGTTTGTTTCAGTTTCTTCTTAGGTGGAAAGAAGTGGATTGACTAAGTCAAACACATACATGTTGCTGTTTGACCTAGATCTTCAATTTAGATCTTTTGGGGATGTACACAAACCTCCTGGTACAGAGGGGTTAGAAATGATGCCTCAAATCCTGCAGTGCTCCAGTCCCAGTGCTAGCTTTCTGACCCCTTGTCTCTGTATACTGGGTTTAGACTAACTCCATTGCCTTGTACAAACCCTCTGGGCTTGGAGAATATTTGCTTCTGTGTGGAAGAGCCTTGCAGATGAATTTGATATCTATACTTGAGTGACCCATGGTTCATTTTTCAAAGGGTCTTGAAGCAACTGACAGTGCTTTCTCAACTCTCCTGTGTGCCTCAGAGGCAACATGCAACTGGTGCTATAATGGAGATGTGCCCCCCAAAGCCCTGGCAGCACTGGGAGGCTGGTGGGAGGCATGGGCTGTGTCTCCAACTGGTGGGGAAAGCTTTTCTGCCTGTGTTGTTGGCAGCAAGTCCGGAGATGAGACTGCAGACTAGACAGGTCTTACATTAGAGGTGAGGGAATGGAGAAAGAGTAAGTGTGAATCTGCTGCAGCAGCCTGCCTGAGGAGCTGGGCTCGGTCGGGTATGCTGGAGCCAGGCATGCAGCTAAGGAAGCTTTTGCTTCTGGCTGCCCACTGCAGTCCTCTGCCAGTATGGTTACCTCCCACAAGGTACATCTGCTGAGCAGGTGATGGACCAGCAAATAAATACACCAGGCTGGGACCCCCTGGTCTGTGATCTTGGTGAATCCCCCAGCAGACCTAGCCCTCCTCAGACCTGCTGTGCATGGAGCTAGGCTAAGCAGAAAACAGCTTCTGAGCCACACTGAGGGATGTCCTGTTCTCCATGTGCCCTCTGCTACATAACTGTGCTCGCGCATTGCCTTGCCCGTAGGTCAGCGCAGTGAGGAAGTGGTGCAGAATGCAATTTGGGTGTAAGATCAGGGAGCAGGAATAGCTCACTTCCCCCACCTTGTGAGATACTGTGAACAACTCCAAGCCATAACCTGCATTGATAAACAGCAACATGTGCCTTGTTTTTCTCAGTGCCCAGCACTCGCCTTAGTCCCTTTGCTCTTGTTGCCTCCTGCTTCCATGTGACTTTCTTCTCCCTTCCTCCCACATCTCAGGTGACTTTCTTCTCCCTTCCTCCCACATCTCAGGTTTCTCCTCATTGCAGCAGATAGTGGCTGGTTCTGTGGCATTGCAGTAGCCAGGGGTTCAGTGCTATTCATCTTTGGGGCAGCAAATGAGAAAGCAAGCAAGTATCTGTGAAAGCCAGAGGTAGGGAAAAAAGGGATGGCTCACAGCGGGTGTCCGAGCAACTCGAGAGTCAAATAAGGAATGCCCAAGGCAACAAAGAGGTTACAAGCAATGATCCTGCTGGAAACCATTCCTGAAAGACATTATTAAAAAAAAAAAAAAAGGTATTTTGGGTGGTATTTAGTGTAGCAAAATTCCCAGCTATGTGTAAATTTCATAAGATAGGCACTGTTGGCATCCAGGCAACTGAGGTCCTTCCTCAGTCCCCAAATTAGAGGCAAAATCCTTCTTTGTAGTAGTAGATGAGGAGTCACTCCTACATGAAGACAGGAATTCTTTGAGCTCTAGTCCTTGCCAGGCACCCCTCCATCCAAGGACTATAGATTTGCCATTGCCTGCACCTATTCATGTGACACTTGGAGGCATGTTAATGCATTTTCCTTGTATCTATTGCAAAGTGCCTTTTGCTGTAGAACATGTCTTGCTGCATCTCTTTGCTGTAAGCAAATGCTACTGCATTAATGGAACTTGTGCCATTTGATTTTTGAACAATAATAAGTAACTAAGGAGCAGGCATTGCTGACTTCACGTCTGTGAGAATGGTTGGTTACCCATGTCCTATGTGGTGGACAGTCTCCATTACTCTGGACTCTGGGAATTGCCTATAGAAAGGTGCAGAGGGCTTGAAGCACTGACAAAAAAGGATAGTGAGAGTAACATATTCCTATGTGTACCCTGAGAAGAACTACAAGAGGATAGAGCACTGCTGTAGGTCTACGGATAGCTTTGCTCGCAGGAGGAGATATCCAGTGGATGCAAGCTGGCGTAGCTGGTCTGCATGCCTCAGGTGGGGCAAACTGCCCTTGTGGGATTCCCCAAGGGTAGATGATGATTTTCTATGAATTTCTGCATAAAGTAGGGTAGTGTGGGAGTTGTTCATTCAGTAAAGATGAGGCTTTTGCCACCAGAGGGTGCCTGCCCCCTTACCTACCGTCCCGGAGACCACAGTAACCCATGAAACTTCTGTCTTTGTAGCTGCTGCCAGCTCCAGCCCCCCCATTACTCCCAATGTTAATATGACCCCTGCTGACACTTCCTATCCATGAGGCTCACTCACCCCCACTTTGTGCAGTGAAGAAGTAACCATGAAATAAGAGGCAAGTTGTGAGAAACACAACTGCTTTGGGCTGGCAGGAAGCATTAGAAGCAGTGCGAGTCAGGAGCATCAAAGTCCTGTAAGTGAGAGTCACAGAGACCAAAAGTGGCTTGCAGATAGCATGTACACAGATCAACTTTTTCCTTATGCTCTACTGAAGTACTGTTTTCTATATAGTGCCAAACAGGGTGCTCAACAGCTCTGCCATCTCATCTGTAAAGATGCAGGTATTTAATTTAATGGTGTCTTCTGGGTTGCGCATAGCTGACCCCTTAGCACTCAGCCAAGGAAAAGTTAGCGAGAAAACTCAGCAAAATACCCCACTGTCTCAACAAATGTTCTTTCTCCAAGGAGCAGAGTTCTAAACAAAGTTTTAAACAACATACATACAATTAGACTGGGAAATAAATAACCCCACCAAGCTCAGGGAAAAAAAGCTCTCAGAAAGGATGGAAAAGAAATATGATGGATCACTTACGGAAGAGAAGAAGAAATGCCATTAGGACTGATATCCAGCTTGTTAGTAAGGCCATTGTGAAGTTTTGAAAACAGAGTGGTTTCACCCAAATTTTCTGAATTTAGCTCTTCTGAAGTGTCTTAAAAAAAAAACAAAAAAAAACAAAAAACCTAAAGCAGGTCACATGACTATATTGGGAAACTACAGTCACATCCTGAGTAGTTACATTTGCAAACAGAAGTTCCCTTTTTTGGGTTTAGGTTCAACACATAAATAAACTCCCTGCCTGAAAGTGTTCTGTGGAGAAGGTAGACAGCCAACAGTCCCAGCCTAGTTCAGCTGTTTTGCTCTCTAAGGGACCTTTAAATGCTAACATTTATTTTTACAAAATTGAAAAAATACTACCGCAGCAAATTGGTCTCTGCTGAAGTCTTCTAAATCCATGGAGATGCAAATGGATTTTCTGTCTTAGAAGGAGACCCTTCTAATGCAATCTCTCTCAAAGTTGCCAGCTTTTTTTTGAATTCAACATGAATGCCATCGTAACATTTTGAGGAGAGGAGTACTTGGCTGAACCCTTTCATAATTTCCAATTTTCCCTTTTTTTTCCCCCATTTCCCATAATTTCCCATTTCCCTTTCACAATCAGCTTTTTCAGGAGCAGAGTGGAAGAAACTCACCATGGCTGCAAAACCATTGCAAGCCAGTTCCTGGAAAAGAACTTCTACCTAAGAAACATGTCTTGACCTAGTAGGAACTAAAAAGCAGGAACTTGCTAGCAGATGATGCTTCTGGTAGGATTCAAGCTTATTCTTTGAACTACAGTGAAAAAACAGATTTTTCTGTTCTTCGGGAAAATTCATCTTTTCAAACAGGTTAACCTGATCCAAAACTGAATGACAGCAAAACATACAAGTAAATATTAAAGCTTTTTGCTAAATGAACCCACTCCTCCCAAATCATTTCAGGTCCATCCTTCAGAGGGGGAAGGCACAAGCACATGGGCCTCATTTTTTTTCAGCAGAGGTCTCTGGAAGATCTCTATTGATTTTACCTCTTGCCTCTTGAAGTACCTTTCTGCTTTAGATTAGTTCTTTGCTGTCTGGTATCTTCATCTCATGTAGATGCTTATATGCTCCAATCAAAATAATCTGAAACACATCTTGAATAAGAAGTTTTAAGAGAGAAAACTCCTGGGTATTTCTTTTTCTTACTGTTGGTATGTCTGAGCAATTTGGTCTCAGCAGAATCTCACATCTTAAGGCTGGGTGAAGCCTTGCTGAGTAAATTGTAGTTGTAAAGCCCTCCTTCCAGAAGTCTGTTTTTAATGGGACCATTGTAGTCCATAAGGAATGCTGATGACTGCATGTGTATGGCCACCTTGGTGGAAAAATGACTGTAAATGAGCAAGATGGTCACAAATGCTTAGTGGCTCTGACAGGCTCTGAGTGGAAAATCGTGTTTACGACTTTCAGGTGTTTGTGGAGGGATAAGCAAAATGCAGTGTTAGCCAACAAATAAGACTCTTGAGGCACGAAAAATCTAAGGTGGCCTTAATTCTTGGCCTGTTTTGCTGGATGAAGCATAGGTAGAACTGACGGAGTGTGGTAGATGTGATAGAAAATATGTGTTAATGTTTTGACCTGTTGTGAGTGTTTGTGTGCACACACACATGTGTGTGTAATTCATTTTTGCTCTTTCACTGTTCCTGGTTCTCTCTGGGATCAGAGTTGAAAACAGCAAAACCAAGCAAATAAAAATCTCTGTACCAGCTGGATGGAAAAGATCAGGATTCTTGTAAGAAACCCCCAATGTTTTTGTACCTCATGTGTTTCATCTGCAAATGATCCTATGCTCCAAGGTTCCTGAGAATCTTTTATGAAAGGAGTAACATGAATGTCAACTTCCCCCCCCCTTTTTTTTTTCTTCTTTTTCTTTTTTCTTTTTTTGTTTGTTTGTTTGTTTGTTTCCCCTGGCCCAAGTCAGTGGTCTCAGAGGGCTCTCATATTTCAGAAAAAGCAAGTAAACATTTGAGTATTTGACTGAACTCTCTAAAGTTGCTTGGTTTATTCCATTGCTACTTCTCCACAAAATGCTTCAGATAGCTTAGCTTGCTGACTGCTCACTGCTGGCTATGTATGCTTCACTATTCTCATTCACAGCATACCTCCAGTGAGGAAAAGCACTGATCAGAATAAGCCAGACTTAATAAAATCCTGCTTTGCAGTAGGTTTATTCTGATTCTTGACCAAACTGGGAAATGTAGCTTCAAGCATAGTCATCATTATCAGCCTTCCCTCTATTACCCACGCTCCATCATCCAGCCACTGGGCAGGATATATATGTTTAATTAATTCTGCTTTTACCTTCGACCTGTAAATAGTGGGAGTAATGTCAGATTTATACGTTATATGAATAACAAGGATTTCTCAGGAGGTCCTATCCTGGTGAAAGAGGCTAACTGTAATTTTCAGCTGTGAGTAATTGTATATAATATAATCCTAAATGATTTTTCTTCTGTAATTTCATTAGAGTTTAGAAATTTAATTAGATTTTGAATCACTCTGAAATAAAGTAGCAAAACACCCAGAGACTAAGAGCAGTGGTTATTTTGTCCTCCGAGGCCAGAATTCTTGGTCTCAAATTGGCATGTGTTCATTAGGAGGAAGTTTGCAGAAGTTCTTGATATATTATTGTCTTTCAGAATGGACTCTGAATAGGTCTTTGGAGAGCATTAGAAGAGCACACAATTATTATACAGACTCTTTTTGAGGTTTAAGATCATCTGCCTTGCATATACTTAATAAAAATATGCCTCTAAAGTTGTTTAAGAAACTGTGGAGATAAGAAAGATGCTCCTCCAGTGCCTCAGTGCTCCTCCTGGTTTATTAGCAACTGCAGTACCTGTGTGTGATGATACAGAGAGGAGTTGTTTGCTTTACTTTAATGATTAGGTAGGTTTATGGTTATTTTTATTGCTACACATATGAACTGTCATGGTGGCTGTAATTAGAGGCACACTAAAATGCTGTTCCTTATCTTTCATCCAAGGTTCAAAAGAAATCTGTCCTTCTGGCAAACTTTGATTCTCTGTGGAATTCAGCCCATGTGCAAAAAATGGAATCAAACAAAACAAAGACCAGTGCAGCAGCTTTTGATTGCATGGGGTGCCCAGATAGTTGTGGTGGGTTCAGAAAGGGGATCCTCTTAAAAGATTCTGAGGGACTAGATATGCAAGTGCTTGTTCCCTTTTTATTTTAACTGGTGTAACATGGTTTGTGTTTGTGGAGATGGCCAGATTTACACTGCTTAACTAAAAAAGGGATTTGGGCACTTAGGAGCACATTCTCCAAAGCCTTTACCCACATAGAAATGTCTTTTCTCTCACTGGGGTTAGTTGCTTGAACCAGGACTATGCACATAATTTTGAACGAGTAGGTGCTTAAAGGGCAAAGCATATAACAAATTGAGGAGTTAAGTAGAGAGCAGGAAATTCAGATTACTTTCAGCATGGCAACAAAATAAGGAACCATAACAGAGATATAGACAGCAGGAATTAAAGAATCTAACAGAAATGAGCAAGGGGAGAGAGAGCAAATGTTGTGAAATTAGGAATTTCAGCAGGACAAATGGGGGGTGGGGGGGACCAACCTCTTTAAATAATGACAATCCAATCTATTTGAAAAGAAAGAGGAAACTTCGACGTAATGGGATGCATGTCAGTCCCAAAACAAGAAGTCAAAAGGAAACCTCCAAGATGACCAGGATGTTGTTACTGACTGACCTCTGTAACCATTGCTAGCATCCTCTGTACTGGCCACTGCAGGCAGACATGGAGTGAAACAATTCATTGGTCTGATCCAAGGGATCGTTTCCTTTGTTTCATTAACATCTCTTGATGAGAGCTCATCATCACATAAATCCAGTCCTTGTGCTCAAATATATGCTTTCAGAGTGATGCCAAGCAAGCAAGTCTTGAAGTCTGAATGGAAAAAGATTCTTGGAACCAAGATGGAAAGTTTTTGTGCACTTGGCTTAATGGATATTGATGGAGATTAGGCAACCTCAGGGAAGTCTGGTGTGCGTGGACATGCTGCCTTCCCTTAACGTGTTGTATCATATCATGGAACAAATTGAAGAAAACATGTTCAGGCTGGTTACTGCCAAAAATCAAGGTGCTTTTGCTATGGGCATCCGGAACAAATGGAAACTATGCTTGAAAACTCACAGCTGCTCTTCCTTTGCTATTTTCTCCATCTCCTCCTCTGTCAGGACTCTGAGCTGCTGGGACAACTGGGAGGGATTCCACATCTCAGCAAGCAGCAGAATCACAGATGTCGGGTGTGTTAACAAAGGGAAACACACCCGCACCAGTTATTTAATGCCTTCCTCCCTTGACATTAAGGAATACTATAGGAAACCATTCAACATTGCAGTCTTGCTCCTTTTCTTTTTCTCCTCCACCTCCATTTTCTTTTGAAGGAATATGTTATGTTACAGAGATGTTGGTACATTTTAAAAACGTGTTTTCTTGACTTTACTTGGGGGACACTATGGCTTGGTCCTATTGCCAACTCAGAAAGGTGCAAGGAGGCAAAGAATAAAGCCTTGGAACATGTGTCCTCAAGTCTCTTTTGTGCAACATCAGGAAAGAAAATGCCAAAGTAGTCCATGGCTCAGCTGAGCAGTCTATTCATTTGCAGATGTCCTGCCCCAGACCTTGCTCTGTTCTTAGGTTTATAAAACTGTGTGGTGTCCCTCATGGAAGTTACAACTTATACTGAACTTAATTTCTTCCATACTGGGTATATTTGGATTATTAATTCAGATTGTCTGCACCTATGTGTCATTATTTCTTGCTTCCCAGTGAAGAGGATTTTTTGTATTTCTAAACCAGGCTGATTCTGTGTTACACTACAGCAGGGAAAAAAGGTATTATAACAGAAGGCAATTTCTTCCACGGTGAAGGAAAGCGCCTGCACATCACTTCGGGAAGTTGTATATTTTCTGGGTTAACACATAGCAATGAGTGTGTTATGTGCTGGGATGAAACACAGGTAGGCATACATAAATGTGAGTTGAAAAATAAATCTTTTTGTAGGAAATGTGGC